GCATTTTGTAATCTTGTAATCTCATTACACCAATATATCCATTGACATATCTCCGCAGGCCACATTCAGCGATTTGATCCATGTGTTATAACGTAGAAGTTTATCGATCTCCTTGTATGATTTCATAGTGAATGCCTTCACGCGTTTTTTTTTCATAGTTGAAACTCAGTTCGACTGGAACTTGAGTCGTTACTTGATCGGAGAGCGCGTGGCAAAACGAGAATATTTCAAATGGACTCTGCCGATACTAAGTTCCATACGCCAAGAAAGGAACGACTCGAGAAGATTGTTCGGGGTGTTCGTAATAAGCTGACATTTCGGCATCTATGGAGGACGATTCGTCGATTCCTACCAATCATCAACTGGCTACCTCAGTATGAATGGAAGCGATCGTTTTTCGGTGATCTCAGTGGAGGTCTAACTATGGCTGTTTTCGCTGTACCTAGAGGTGAATTGCTTGAAATTACAGTGATCGCAACTCAGAAACAATCGGTTCTTGGAGCGAAATGTCTGATTATGTGCTAAATTCTATGGAAACTCTTTAGTCGAGTCTGGATAGAAGAGTAGATGATATACACGTGTTGGAAGAGGGAAATCAGTTCACAATATCTCGATGAATCAAAACATCTCGCAAGTATTCTAAATCTATCAACTTTTTTCAGGTATTGCACAAGCATCGATCACAGGTGTTGATCCAGTGTACGGTCTCTACACGGCTATCTTTCCCTCTTTCATGTACATATTTTTTGGAACATCGAAGCATAATTCGTTGGGTGAGCGCCGTCCTGTTTAAACCATTTGAAAAATCAAGAAGCTTATGAAAATTGCCCAAGTTCTTAATCTCTTCTCAGTGATGACTGATGTATAAATGAATTCTGAACTGAATGCACGAGAATGTTATTGCTGTGAAACTTAGCTTATACAATTATTGAATGACGGGCTTCGAAATCCCTCATTACGATTTAAACAATATTTGAAGGAATCTTAGAGAAATGCCCCTTGACATCAATCGTCTTCTAGCAGAATGCTGATACTCCAGTTGCTGATATTCTCAGTGTCCAATGCTCACAGCCACCAGATTTGTCGCTTCATGTGATTATCATATCAACGCCAATTTCAGGTGGTTTCGTTGTACTATCACTGATGACCCGAGCAGCAATCGAGAAGGTCATGCTCATGCAAGCTTCTATGAATACATGGGATAACAGTACAATGGATATCTTTAATGCAACTAATCCAAATCATAATCTTTCAACATTTCCCATGCCATTCGAGCCCGATAGTATGAATGAAACAGATTTTGAATTCACAAACGATGAAATCAACGCTAACGTTTGGGAAGCGTCTCAACATTCCGTAAAGCCAATAGAAGTTGCCGCAACATTGGTCTTTCTGAGTGCTTGCATTCAGGTGAATCTCATGAACTTTTTAGCTAATCCACTTGGCACTCTCTTGATCAAATACTTTTGTGTGTTGCTAGTTGATCGACTGTTATTGTGTTGCTCTGAAACATGATGATTTTACAAAGATCTTCACAATGAATAGTCTTTTGCAATTCAATTTAAGTTGCATATATTGTTCAAGAAGTGACCATATGAAGCATAAGCCAAAGTGCAAAGCTAAAGCGAACTGTTTGTGAGCAATAACACAAACACTTCGCATTCATTCACCTTGAATGTTCCTCATCTGAGCAGATATTATAAACTCGGGAAAAGGAAGTTAAACAAGACAGCTTTCATTTATCATCTTGCCTCGTTTTACTTGTATTACCGGGATATCCTGATCAACAACATCATCAAATGGTATTCTTTTAATGTTACGTTGCAGATTTTGATGGGTATATTGAGATTCGAGCACCTTACATGTTACTTCTCTCAACAGGTCATGTCAGGTTTTGTGGTTGGTGGCTGTGTGCATGTGTTCTTTGCGCAAATCGGCGATATTTTGGGAATTCAGCTGGAGAAACGAGCTGGACCCGGCTATCTTTATTATGTTCGTTCCTTTCCCAATTCAGATTCGATGTCCTATTTCTTCAGATGGAGTATCTTCACTGATCGTTAATTAACCTAATCAAGTTACAGTGCATAAGTTGTTTATTACTCAGAATATTTTGGTCAAAACATTTTACCAACTCATTCCTAAAATTATTCCAAGAACGACATGGTGAATAGAACACAGTAATGATCGTGGTCTATGAAACCAAGCACGATTAGAATTTTCAAAAATAATTCCAACTTACTGGAAACATTAAGTAGAGAAACTTTAGAGGGTACAAGACTTGCTCACACATCTGAATGAGACGAAAGCAGCAACTGTTACGATGAGCGCAATGTCAATCACCTTCTTACTCTTTGGCAAAGAGATTCTTCAACCATGGCTATCGCAAATCTTCCTTTTCCCGATCCCGTACGACCTTATACTTGTGAGTGTTCTTGAAGATTCATACTCTATCAATCCAACGGTTTAAGTAGTTTCTTGCAAATCATTTGAGTAAGATTGAAAAATTATTAATAAAACAAAATTTCCTCATTTATTTGCCGAAATATTTGCTCGACTCATAACTTATGATCAGAAATCATGATCAGAGTGAGGATAGAATGCAATTGAGCAGCTTTAGATTTATGAGAAGCAAAATTTTCCCAAAACTTGCAGGCAATCGTTGCCATAACAGCCACAAATTTCGCAGAACTTGCCGATCGCCATCAGATTATCGTAGTCGGCAATATACCGACCCGATTTCCACCTCCATCGTTGCCTCGTTTCGATCTGCTCCCATCAATATGTATTGATGCGCTCAGTATCGCTGCAATCGCAGTGGCCATACATGTGACAGTGGCAAAAATTGTTGAGAAACGTTATGAATATAACATAAAATGTGGACAGGTAACGATGTCTATTCAGTATTTTTTGGTGGGATTTGTTATGGTTTATCGCAGTAAAATATCAAACAGAAATGAGCATATT